ACAATACCTTCCTTCTCATCATCATCTTTCTCCTCCTCCTCCTCCTCCTCCTCCTCCGCCTCCTCCTCCGCCTCCCTCCTCATTCTCCTCCTCCTCATCATCATCCTCGTCCCCCTCCCCTCCTCATCCATGTCCACGCGGCCAGCCGCGGGGAGTAGGCGCTGCCGGTGCGGACCGCGACGATGACGACGAGGGCGTGGGGCCAGGGGAGCTGCGGGCGGCGTGGGCCGCGGCGGCTGCGGGCGATGCGGACCCGCCCGCCCGGAAAGCCGCCACCAGAGCTCTTGACAGGTACCTCGAACTCGCAGCGGCGTCGCCCGGCGAGGCGGAAGCCTTCCTGAGTCGCGCATTGGAACCCCGTCTGCTGGTACAGTTGGCCTTGCGGTGCCCGGTGTCCGGTGAGTTATTAGGGCTGGCCGACGCTCTGGAGGTCATCACCGAGGATGTGTTGTCACGCGGAGCGCAGGCTGGGTCTGGCGACGCAGCCTTCAACCGCGCCGTGGCCGATGAAGTCCGCCAGGCACGCCGGGAATCGCAAGCGGAGGCGGCAGAGTTGGGCACGGGCGACCCGTTCTCCCTGGATGACGTCAACGCGGTCCTCAGGGAGATGAAGGGGAACCGGCGTTCCCTGCACCTCGCGCGCGCGGCCGTCCTCACCGAACTCTGGGGCGGGAGGCTCGTCACCTGGGCATTGGTATGCTTGGTGGCGGTCTCGGGCCTTATGCCAAGTGGATGGTGGCGCGAGGTGGCGCCCATCCGGAAGCGGGGGCCCGTGGTAGTGTCTGACGTCGCCCACCTGCGCCCCGTCAGCTACGTGGACGAGCTATGCGGGACGTTCGACGCCGTGTGGCTTCGGGCGGCCCGCGGCCAGCTGGAGGCGTATGCGGGCGCCCCCCAGGCGGGAGGTAAGTATGACGCCGTCCTGATGGTGATCGAACTGGTCATGGCGCTACAGATACGCAGGGCGCACGGCTTGTCCACCCTCGTGGAGAAGGCCGACCTGGAACACGGCTGCGACCTCGCCTGGCGGGATGCTGTACGAGTTCACTTGCGACGCGCCGGTTTGGGGGGTCACCTTTGGCTGGTTGCTGACGCAGCCCTGGGATCCGAAACGATCCGGGTCCGCATCGGCGGGATTGCAGGGGCGGCGGCTGTCCTTACCGAGTTCGGCGTCGGGCAAGGCCGCCGGGCGGGGGTGCACATGTTTGGCGCACTGGTGCGGGCATTGTTGGATGCTTGCTCCGCCGTGGCCTCGGGCGTTGGTGTCGCCCCGCCGGCGGCGGCGGCGCGCGCGTTCCACGAATGCCATCAGGCCGCAACTCTTGCGCCTGGCACGGAAATAGCTTGGGGGGCTGTCCGTGCAGAGGAGTTGTTGGTATCGGTGCGGCCTGGGGTGCCGGACTGGCACCAGCACCTCCAGGCGCTAGGTACCGTCGCGGACAGGTGCGCCTTCCTCGATGCCGTGGCCGCTCACGCGCTCCTGATCCTCCAGTTCGTGGACGACTCGTTCGTGTTCCAGTCGTCGGCCGCGGGGCTGGCCGCCGTAAACCGGGCACTGACGGAGTTCTGTTTGACGTGGCGCCACCGCTTCCAAGGCGGCCGCAAACGCCCCATGGTGCTGGCCGTGGGGGGTGGGCCTGAGTCGGACAACTTCGGCACTGTGTGCGGGGTGCCGCCGGAGGTTA